ACTCCGAAATCATTCTGATGTACTCGTATTATCCCGCGATGCGTGATGAAGCCCGTGTGTATTCGTCATAAGTACAACACGCGTGTACACTGATAGAATATACTAATGATACGAGAATGTCCTCCCTTTTTTCTCATAATCTTTTTAGCAAATCATCCTGATGCGTGTCCGCTGTGTCGTTAAAAGTTCATTATACTTTATGTGTCACCTGCTTTCTTTCTTTATCTTCTGCATCCCGCGTAAGCGCTATGCGCGAATGAAACGCGCCATATAACAGAAGAAAATAAATTTTCGGTAAAGGCAAAGTGCTATTGGGCTCCGGCATAAACACCCCGTGCAACACCTGAGGCCAAGACTTATGCGTCCGACAGAGAGAAAGAGAGGGAGGAAGAGGAAGGAAGAAAGAGGAGAAGCAAAATCAGTAATAGTTTTAACATTGGATTTACGTACGCATTTCTTATCGCACATCCGAATATTATCCAAGCAACTCGGATAATATTCAAACAACAACTGCTGTTATTTATTATGTTAGATATATACACGATAATTCAACGTCGTTTAAAAATCGATAAACTTGAAGTTTATTCACTTTCAATGATCACACACATCGTTCTGCCTTACCATAAACTCTGATTGGACTCTGTATATTTTCTTGTCCTAAGAATCTGTTTTTCCAATCATTTTTCCACATAGAAACAAAAGCTTCGAGCAATTGTACGAACAGAAGCGCGATGTGAGGACTGATTGCGGAAGTTTATACAGATAAATAGATCCTGGAAAACGAACCTTAAACTCATTCACGCATCTCTTGTCTTTTACGGTTCGTTCGCAGCATTGAGGTATATTCGATGGAAGCAAACTGCTATTTATACACACATATATATATATATATATTGTTTAAAATTTGCTATAACACTATGTAGTCATTTGAAATAAAAATTATAAAAAAATGTGTGTGTGCATAGAGAGAGAGAGAGAGAGATACGCGCAGTAATAAGGTCATAAAAATAAAAAAAGTAATATAATTAAAAAATAGAGATAAAATAAGAAAGACAGAAAGAAATATGAAAGGGGAAGGAGCGCAGCTTTTTCCAGAATCGGTTGTAGAAGGAAAGAGGACGAAAGAGGGAGATGAGGAGAACCGGGCTGATTGAAGTTGGCACGATGTTTAATTCAACGAAACCAAAGACACGCCCCGCTAACTGCGGAACGAGACTCGACCTCGAGGAAAACCCTGGCGGAGCCCTTCGAGCGCAATAGGTACTTCTCTTTCCTCTTTCCTTAAATCCTCCTCCACGGTAATTGCTTCTCTTCTTCGGCAGCTCGAGCGCAAGCTCGCGCGCTCTCAGATCAGTTCTATCGGCGGAATGACTGGTCATCAGGTAAATCGTTAATCAGAGATTTGCACCTTCGATAAGGATCGTCGATGATGCCGTTGCTGTTTCAGCGTTAACTAGCGAATGAATTTTCACCTCGATATTCTCCACCACAAATTGTCTAGGATGTTGAAATTATAAAGCTCGATTTAATTAAACCAGGTGAGTGCAGACAATTACTAAAATTTCGCGTTTAAGCCTATCTTAATTTTTCTCGCAACAGAGACATTAGTTTATAACGTTCCTACAAACGAGTTGATTTACTAATCTAATGTATGAAAGGTACTATTGGAGAAGAAATCACGAGTAATTCGCAAAGAAAACATGCCATCGCCATCTACACGGGCCTGCCATTTTGTCTCGGGGTGCAGCAATTACCGAGGTTGCATTGCGACGCTTGCTTAGCACAACGCGCATGTCCTTGGGAGTAAAAGGGTTAAAAGGCTCTCTCCCTCTCTTACACGAGGAGGGAAGATCTTCGTAACACAGAGACGGGCGTACATCCATATACGCTTCCCACGTTTGATAAAAGCACGTCAAACTTGTATCAGACTATGGAGATTGCTGAATTTCCTAATTATTCGGTTCTAGTTGAATCAATTACCGTGCAGCGAGTCCATCGTTATTGCGGCTAAAAGAGAACCGAGTAATCGGAAATTATAATCGGCAACCCATAATTTGATACGGGCTTTACGCTTACGGGATTTTCGACCGCGTTGGAACCGCATATCTTTTATTAAGCCTCTCTCTCTTTCATCATCTCGACTCCGTTCACCCCGTGCAACATACCACCTTCCGACACGCGCATCCCTCGAGCGCGTAACCCTTTTTTCTTCTCTCCGTCGATGAAAAAAGTGATTTGGGTGAGGCATTTGGGGGACGGTCGTTTTTTTCACAGTGAGACACAGACGGAAACTCGCGTGGAAAAACACACACACACACACAGAGTAAGAAAAAATGTTCACGGAGAGTCGAGACAATGACAGAGGCACAGCTGGTTAAACGCAAAAGGATTGCCAATTAACATAAAAGGGCACGATTACACGGACGCGAGGCAGAATCAGATCACATTGGGTTGGGCTGCGGCGAAACGATAGGCATTTTTGCTCGCTGAAATTACGTGTATGCGGCGATGAGTAGCTCGCGCTCCTGCACAATGCATCACGGGAATAAAAATGGGAACCCTTTTACTGTGGAGGATAGAAGCGAGAGCATTTGTTTTGTAGTAAAGCGCACGCAGTGAAAGCCTAATGCCTGTTTGTGCAAATAATCGTTTGCTTTTATTACGAAGCAGTTATTTAGATGGAGGACAAGGCTACCAAATAATTACCATACGCGACTTGTACTTTTTCCGGTCTTGTGTCTATTTTCGTTTAAAAGTTTTTCGTTCATTTTAAATATGTATAACTTTTTAAATTAAATCTGTATATATGTATATATACTTTAAATAAATAAAATTATACACTGTTATGTGACGCAAAAGTGATTATCAAGCGATTTTTACCGATAAACTTGTTGATGCACTTGTTGCGATGACTGAAATTATTTACCGAAGAAACGTCGAGAATCTCTTTATTGTGTTGGAAGATAAATCAAACGTAAACGATCGAATATACTTACGTGCAAAGTTGATCGAAATAACAAAGAGGGTAATCAAAAAATTGTCGATAGAGTTATAAAAGTGGGTTCCGTGTCCTTTCGTCGCCTCTCTCTTACGTTCCCCTTATGTCTGCATTATGCGCCGCAAAAAAATTATACGTGGGGTCACCAGCCCTGAAATACGAACAATGCGTTATTTGTGACATTTGAAATAGCACTGCGTCGGAATAACACGCGCGCGTCTTACTTTCAGAATTGTCATTTAATTAATATATATATTTTATATTAAGTTAAAATTACATACTGCATACATTGTTAAATCTATAGTGTCTAATTTAATCTAACGTCAGTTGCCACTCAATTATATCGTTATCTTACACTAAACTTATGGTTATATTGGACACTGTATGTACACCGTCAAATTGAGACGATCTAGTGTCAAATTTAATTATTGTATTTTAGTATAAAATAGTGATATATTTAGAAACACTCACGTTAAATTAAATTTGACACTATAGATTTAACAGTGTGTAAGAAAAAGTTTAGAATTTTTAAGTGTGAAATTCTAAAAATGATACACAAATATCTACTATATGTTTTTTCGAATATAATTTTTTAGCGCGGCGACACTTTCTTCTGGTGACTTTTTTCTTGTTGATACTTTCTATTTTAAAACATACATACGATTTTTAAATAAAATTATTGTTAATCTTGTGCCTCGTATAAATTTTATATTATAAACTCTACACATGACAGAATTGGGGAATGACAATTGGGAAACGTTTAGAATAACTGTCGGGAGAAAAGTGTCACGGCCGAATCAATATCGTTAGAATTATATTTCACAGAGCTATTCAAATTTTTGGAAACCGTTGTGCCATTCACCCTCCGACATATGAAACGCGTCATCGATTTCGTTTGTGCGTTCAACTTTTTTACTCTTTTCTTTGTCTTCGTTTTCACAGTATTACTCGATCGAAGAAAAAAAAACAAGAAAAAATGTGATGATTGTCATGGAATGAGAAGAAACCGCCTTGCGCGCTCGCGCATAAGAGAAGAGGAAGAAAGAAACACGGGCTTCGCCGGTGTTCATTCTTGCAAATGCCGCGGAGAAAGAAATGTGCTCGTTAAATTATAACAGCCATCAAGTTTCGCTTCCGGATAAAAGCGATGTAACAGAATGTGGAAGAAGGAGGGAAATGTAGATGGGGATGGAAAAAAGAAGAAAGGGGAGAGAGAGAGAGAGAGATTGCACGACAGAGGGTGGCTCTATATGCATACGAGAACATTCAGGTGTCAATCAAAGTTCGGAATCTTTGGGATCTTGTACTCGAAGCACATATACGATTTTTCCACTAAAAATTTACGTATTCATTCACGCGAGAAACGCTCACGCGAATGGAGAGCGTTTTGGTAGAGTAGATTAGAAGAGCGGAAAGAGAGTTCTGTTTGCTTTTTCACCACTCTTGACTTCATAGTCGAGAGCATATTTTTTGCGCTAACTGTCACGCATTGTTAACGTCAAATCGGTTTTTTTTCTTTTCTTTTTTTTGGTTGCGCCGTCAATAACGGTAGGAAGGAGGAAACGGTGCCTACATCATGAAACAGGAAAATTTCGAACAGGAACACATACGCATCTACGATTACATTCATAACCTGACGACTGTTAAGAAGTTCTCAGCGAATTATTTTTCATTCATATTCTACAACTTTTTTTAGTGTAGGTATAGTAAATATATGTGTGCACATGTATATTGGTGCAATAAGTACTTTTCCTTAAATTAATTAATTTAATTTAAAGAAATAATAACAATTAAAGCTCTTTGTATAAGAGTTTTCTGTTTCTGTCTTCTCTCTAAATTTGAACTTATAAGTTTAAATAAGACACTTAGGCTACGTTCCAAAACGTCGCTTCGAGGAAAATTTTATTCGAAAAGGACGTTTTGGAACATAGCCTTTAAATAAGTTAAACAATGTGAAAAGGAGGATTATATAAAGGATATAAAATTACATAATAAAACTCTCTCTCTCTTTAATAACTGCATATGATGTATTATGACTTATAGCGATAATAGCATCGCACACGCTCTCGCACACAACAACAAATAGTAACACGTATAACGAATGTTCTCATACGAAATTATCGTAATAAATTTCCTTATAGACTTGAGAGATGGAATCGATAAAACACTGGACAGTTGACATCAATAGAATCAAGGCATCGATGGATTAGATCTTTCTACATTCTTTGCGATCGGCATTGGCTGGCCAATCACAAATGAGATTAGTTGCTTGGAAAATCAAACCGGCCGGGCACTTTGATTTCATCGGTTTACCATGGACGCAGACGAAGTACTGCAAAAAAAATATGTAATAGTTATGTAAGAGATACGTTTGCAAATTAGATCGAAACATAATAAAAAGCACAATTTAATGTTACATTAGAAAAACTGTTTTGATAAAAATACTCGGAGAGAAAAAATTTGTTGTGAACACTAATCCTATGCCATAACGGTAAATTTCATTTATAGAGATCGCAAATTATTTATGGATATAATAAATATTTATTCTTTTTTATGCTCTCTCTCTCGCTCTCTCTCTAGTGACAAAAATTATTTGCAACAAATGCAAAATATTTGTCAAATATACAGTGTTTGCTAACTTATCAAACAAATTTGACAATTACGTTTTGTAATTTCTTTCACATTCATAGCAAATGTTTTCCTTCCCTGCATGAGAAGGAATGAGAAGACATGAAAAAAAAGGCTTTTTAAGACATTTCTGCCTTCGTATATACATCATCAAATAATATCATTAGAAATTGTATATTGTTTCAGAAATTGTATTTTTAAAATTTTTTTAGTATTTACGAGCGTACCTCAGAACAGTCTTTGCTAGGGATCATCATCTCGCCGTTACAAACAACATCATTTTTATCGCCTGGCTTCGACGGAGGCTGCGTAGGACGAGGTACTTCGGTTGTTACGTCAGGATTCGAAGTGGGTATGGGATTCGGAGTGGGTCTCGGTTTTCCCTCATTCGATGGGGTACTAGGTGGCCTGTCCCATTCGGGCTGAAAATAAATCACGATTATTTACGAACTTACGTTTTTTTATAATAATAAAATGATCTTCATTATTTGGATATATAGTATATTGAATATGTAGAAATGTATAGTATATACGAGGGTAGTTTGATAAGTTCATGCAAAGTCTAAAATATAGCACCACCAATACGTATCAAGATTATTTTTAGTATTCGGCAACTTTTGGAGGATCACACACCAAATTTCAGTGACATAAGATCCATTTTTTGCAAACCACGAAACTTGATCGATTCAAATAAACGTCAAATACAGAATAATAGATCTATATCACTGAAATTTTGTGGACTCCTTCAAGAGTTGCCGAATACCGAAAATAATCTCAATACATACTGGTGATGCTATATTTTAGACTTCGTGACTTAGACTTATTGAATGACCTACGTATTTCGACATATACATTCTAGTCAAATATTGTTTTTTATCAAATATCATTCAAAATTTTAAAAAATTTACCAAAAATTAATATATTTCTTTTTCAATACCGCAAATTCTTGATGTAAAATTCAGCACAAGAGCGCTAGATGTATACAATGTTTCATACTTTTCATAAGGAAGTCTCTATCTATGGAGTCATTCATAATACTAATTGACTAATTCCTTACCCCGGGAGTTGTCCTGTAATCTTTGGGTGTTACTGTGTAGCCCTTCAGGCCATCGTGGATTGCGGTTATGAGAGGATTCATAGGACCGCAGATTCCTCTAAAGTCGTCCATATCGCAAGCCCAGACCATGGCACCGAGGTATTGCTTTTCTTTAAGGAAATTCATCTTATATCCAATACTGTCCACATCCTCGTAGCCAACCCATTGGGGACTTTTTCCTCCTGCTGATTAAAACTTCCTAATAATTCCAACTATTGCAAACTATCTTGTTAGATAAAAAAATTAATTGACCTGATGAGAATCAAATAATATAACAACATATATTTTACAAAGAGAAAATGCAGAAACAAAATTTTAATGTAGAATAAGTGCATCAGTAGGGAGACTGAGATTGATTGTCAAAAACCTAAACAATATGTGGACGCCAATTAGGACGTTCAAAGAACGTCTTGAGCGTTTCGAATAACTATTTCACACAAATATAAATTTCGTCCAATGAATGCATAAATAACCGCGCTCATTTGATTCCCATGCTCAGGACCAAAACGTTTTTGGATCAAGATATCTTATACTCGCTGATGCTGGCTCGAATAGAGCTGAAACGTCCGATTTTTAAATAATTTTTGTATCTAAGTACATTTTATGTAACTATATCTAATTTTGCTCTCATTTGCCCGCGTTATTTAATATAAACTTTTATTATTAGATATACTATGTTTTATATATGTATCTCATTATTTCAAGTATCGACAGATTCATGAATCAGGTTGTAAGTATTAATTAAATTATCTTGATATCGAATAATCAAATGACATATAATGATATATATCGATTAATACATTTTTATATACTACAAAAATATGGAAATAAGAAAATAGGAAATGTATATGATTCTATTAAAAAAAAAAAACATAATTTGACTCTTTAATTTTTTTTACTAAAAATAAATAAATTTAAAACTTAATTTTTAATTTTATTTGATTCCGTTCGCATCATAATTAATTAATACTTTTGAAAAATAAAAATGCGATTAAAATAATACTCCTATTTAATAAAATTAAATTGTCGAGCAATATTTTTCTAAGTAATCATTTATTGATGCATTTATCATGTAATATTTACACACAGATTTCCTATAAATTATTTGTCAGATTTTCAAAAATAGTTACGTCATTCTGAGATTACTTAAGACATTTTTATTCTTCCAATGTCTACAAAAATTAAACTTACCTTTGTACATATAAGGTACTTTACCCACGTCGTCGTAATCCTTGGTCCATCCGTTTTGATTCGGTTGTTTAAGTTCTATACAAATCTATAAAAAAAGATAAAAGAATTTTGACGTAACAAATGCGCCTGCTGACGTTGCTCGGCTTTTGCTAATTTTCGCTTGCGGATCGATCATTTACCTCGTAATAGGATATGAATCCTTGAGCCCCAGTGTAATTACCAGGTTCGCCGCCACCGGCTTCCTTGTTGATGTAAGTACCAGGTTTGAAGTTGTTATTGCCTTGGCTAAGGGTGAAGCTACGTCCATACAACGGAATTCCTACGACAAGTTTATTGGCAGGACAGCCTTTGTCCTCCCAGAGCTGAAGACCATCGTGCTGAAATAATGGCAATACTCCTATATATATATATCTTCCGTACATATGTCGTTTTAATAAAAAAAATATGTAGGAAGAATACCACGTTCAGTTTCTCGTAGGCGTACTGATCGTGAGGTCTCCTGTAAAGCGGACTATGAACATCAGCAAATCCGCCCCAATTGCCACGAAGATCATAAGACATAACGTGGATGGCATCGACAAGTCTACAAATAAAATAATAATAAGAAATAAAATTGAAAAAATTATTAATTCCCTAATGTATATAGATATGTATACAATGTTCTACCTACTCACGAGCGTTTTATCAAAACTTGCCGGATATCTTGTATATATTTTATTAGCGTATGAATACAGCAGGATACAAAGAGGAACTCACTTGCATAATTCTGGCACATGATACCCCTCGTTAAGTCGAAACTGGGGTATTGGCACTGCCAGCGTGATTTCCCAGCCTTTGCCAACCTTATCGAATGCTGTTCTCAGCTCCTCAGTGAAATAGAAAAAGTTGTTTTTGTCGTTGAAGCTACCACCTCTATCAGTAGCAGCCGGATATTCCCAATCAACATCAAAACCATCAAAATTAAACTTGTTCATGAAATCTACCAGAGAAATCAGAAATTTTATTAAATCCTTTCGTATTTAATTTCGCGCGGTCCACACTCCCAAAACAAATAATTGCGTCTTTTTTTACTTTGCTTTTAATTATATATTATATTCAAATATATTAGATATAATAAGACAAATTTTTCTATGGTTTCCAATGTTTAATCAATTTAGAATGAGACACAAAAGGTTCATAAATATTATAATAAAAGAGAGAGAGCGCGCACAAATTTCTTTTTTTAGTAATTCAATGAATGAAGAATTCTCGAAATACACTCACCAACGATGCTGTTGATTAGCGAATCACGTCTGGCTTTCACGCTAACCATTTGGCTATATTTTCTACCACCCTCGCCCCAGCCGCCAATCGCGATCTCAGTCTTCAGATGAGGATGCTTCTCTTTCAGAGCGACGAAATGATTGAAGCCGCCTTTTTGAACATCGATTTCTTCATCGAGAATGAGAACTCCCCAGGTAACGTTGCTCACACCAATGAAAGAGTAAATGACGTGCGTGCACTTATCAGCAGGAATATCATCGATACCGTAACTACCAATACCCGGACGATGGATAGCCCAGTTACTAAAGTAACAGACCAACCTTGGAGTCACTGAAACATACATATATCATTAACACTCCATCTAAATTATTAATATTGTAACTACATAAATTATAAATTATTCATTATAATTTAGATATTATTTATTGATTATTAATTAATATTTTTTTAATTACCAATTTTCTATTCATTAATGTTTTCAAATATTATTATTATTATAGATTACTCCGAATATAATGATTTTAAATTTATTGTCAATGCTTTCCTTGTCTACTTTATTTTATTAACTATAATTTTAAAAGATTGGGAAAAAACCAGAATTTTTCCAATTTTTTCGGTCTTTTTTCTCGAAGGTGGAAAAATTCCGATCACGCGTATTCGTAAAATATCTGTGCCATAGCCGACAGTAGAGTAATTTGGATAAGTTAACAGAAATTTATTTTGAAATGGTATTAAAGGTAGGGATCATATAATGTATTCTGTTAAACATATGAAACACACAAAACATAGGTTGCATTTAGCAAAAAAAAGCAGCTTTGCAATTGTTGTAAAATTCTTAAACATGATTAGTTTATACATTTAGATCTAATAATGGAAATAATTAAGAGCAAGACCAATCATAATTAATAATTAACGAATCTTACGACAACAGTAGCACAAAGCTGCTTTCTCTGCTAAACGCAGCCGTACTTTCATATTGCACCAATAGTGTATGTTCTGTATGTTTGATTGAATACATTATGTGATTCCAATCTTTATATACAATTTCTGTCAATTTATCCAAATTACCTCACCGTACCTCTTTTGCTATGCACAAGAGGAAGGTTAGATTAGGTTTTATCATAAAAATATTATAGAAGATAAACCAAAAACTTTAATAAAAATATGATTACATAATTTTCTGAATCACATTAATTCGATGAAAGACACTAAAAATGAGATAGTATGTCATTTTGATAGCAAAATAGCCATTTTTCTGAAAAAAAAAAACCAATTTTTCTGGTTTTTTACCAACAATTTGAAAAAAGCGGTTTTTTAAAACTATATTTTTAACTATATCATACAATACAAACAAATTATAGAAATAAAATCTGGAAGATAAAATATAATGCAAACGAAAAGCAAGATCATGAATAATCTAAGGTTTTAATGCGATATTTTACAATAATACGAATTGGCATTTCAAGCATTAATATTATTATATCTTGTCCTTAAAAGTAAAACGCACCAGCTGTTCCACATGCTAGAAACGTCAGGAACAAAGGTAGAGAAAACAGTAACTTTTTCATCAAAGACATCATTTTGAAATCTGTAATTAGAAAACAAATAGTATTTAATAAAATAATATAAATATAAATAATCTCAAGAAAACCAAAGAGTTCATTACGACGCATTAAACTTCTCGCAATGATTACCTTAAATTAAGTTTTTTTTAATTTTTCTGAATTACACTGGGCAAGAAAATTAACGCAACACCTGTTTCACTCTGCAAAAATAGGCAAACTTCAAGATAGAATAACTTTGTCAAAAATTAACGTATCGAGATGTTTAAAAAAGCATTTTACAGCTTGCAATCTCTACTTTTCAGATCGCTACTTGAAAAAGTGGTCTCACGGAGATTTTATGAAGTTACATAAACATAAATGAAGATACATCGATCTCAAAATTTTTTATGAAATTTGCGGAATTCCACGGGGTGGATTAAAAATTGTATACAAATGTGATTTACATCACTCGAAAGACCGAATCTTTACCTTTAATTTATTTTTTTACGAAGTTCCGTACGATTTTTTTCACCGAGTTATTCAACGTTGAAGCAAAAATAACCCTTTTACAACGTTGAATAACTCGGTGAAAAAAAATCGTACGGAGCTTCGTAAAAAAATAAATCAAAGATAAAGATTCGCTCTTTCGAATGATATAAACCACATTTGTGCATAATTTTTATTTCGTTTAATTGGAACTTTTCAAATTTCATAAAAAATTTTTAGATTTTCGATGCACTTTTATTTATTTTTGTGTAACTTTACGAAATATCAGTAAAATATATATTATATATATGTATATCGTTTTTTGAAGTACGAGTCTGAAAAGTAGAGATTTCAAGTTTTAAAATGCTTTATTAAACATCTCGATTCGACGATTTTTTACGAAGTTATTTTATCTTGAAGTTTGCATGTAGTTACTGAACAAAATTAAAGACATTTACAATAAGCATTAGTTTATAAGCACGGTTTATTTTTGCATAACTATTCACGTTAAATGTTTTTGACATCCTAACATATATTGTATCTTAATTTTTATAAATCTCTCTCTCTTTCTCTGATGATTTACAATTAAAAGTTGATATGTTATACATTTATTTAATAAAAATAAATAAAAACATTTTTTAATTTTTTGGAAATAATTTGGACTAAATAGAATAATGCGTATAAATAGCATTCGTATACATTCAAACGTATATGTATAATTCAAATATAATCTACTTTTCGATTTCGGATAAAGAATGCGGAATAAGACAAAAATTAAACAATTCAAAAGTAACAAAAGGCACAATGCACGTCAATCTTTTGTTAAAAATATTGCGTACATATTTCGCGGATTAAGTGTAATAAAAAGTTATATTATAAATTAATAATCACTTATTATAACAAAAATTGAAATATCTAAAGATAAAGTATTCAAGAGCCGTGTATGCGTAACAAATGTAAGAAATAAAGCAAAAATCGTATAATAAATTGTAATTATCGGAGAACAATAAAAATGTGACGAATTTTAATTATTTTGTAATATGCGAGCGCGTTAATAAATATTTCGACGGTTATTGTTAGACGGTTAGTGAAAGCAGCCTTGGGAATTGTTTTGATGTCGAAGGACGGACGCACAGTCCCCGCTCACCCGGCTCACCGGTAACCCGAGCGCGGCGAGCAGTTATTTCATTACCGCAGCTCGGTATAGGTAGGTAGCTGTACCGCTCAACTTAATATTTCTTTCTGAAACGTATTTTTGTGACAAACACTATTAAAGATAATACTAAACGTTGTATTTTACATTCCAAAAACTTACTTAAAATATTAAATAAGAAATAAGTTAGAAAAAGTTTTTTTAAAATACGAAATGTTAAATAACTGCTTCACACATTTTGCTTTTACATAATTTAAATACATATACATATATATATATATTTGAAATATATAT